TTTGAATAATTATCAAGTTACCTTTACAATAAATTGATAAGAATATTAATGGAATATTTTTAACCTTTTTATTTTTTTATTATGTTAATAAATGTCCAGAATGATAGATATAGGCAGTTATCMAATCTTTAACTAATTTGATTTGTTCTACCAAACATTCATGTTTCTACATTGAGCTACAATTCCATATATTAAGATAAAGTCAGTATTACATTAGCTGTCTCTTTTAGACATTCAATAAGTAAAAGCAGTAGCATATTTATAAAGAGAAATATGAAAATATTTTAACTTTCATGACTTAAAAGTTAAAAAAAAATATTTCAGTTTTCAAATGTATGATAATGTAAAATGCACAGGTTCCTGTGGATATCTAACATGTATGTCATTAAATAAAATCAATCWTATGGTTTCAATTGGTCATTTTGTTACTAAACTGTTCAAAGTAGGTTACTAYAATAACATACAATTTACCAGGTTCTAGTTTTTTGATATCAAAAACATTTAAAAAAATCTTTATAATATAAATATTAAATGTATAAACTTTACAAATAAAATATTGAATAAAAGCTACTTAAGGAYGTTTAAAATATATTTTAATGTTATTAGGTGTTATGCTCATTAGTTTTGAGTACAAAATAAGTAATACTGTGGTTTTGCGGTTAGCACTCAGTTAGCTATAACAAGCACACAAAAAATAAACACTACAAATATTGTGTTTACTAGAAAAGGAGTGCCTTTCCACAACAAACATCTTCAGTATGTCTTTAAAATGCTATCTGGTTTTTATTGCAGTAATATTTTCTTTACAAAGGTGAAAAGTTTATTAAAAWACAACTATAATATATTTTCAAAATTGTTATTTCCTCAATAATATTTATATTAATTCTGTTTATTTAACATGAACTTTTTTGTAGCTTGATGAACATCAGGCCTATGTAATTGGTAAAGAAGTCTGTCTTGAATTTTTTTCACTGCCGCTACAGTCAAAATGAGAGTTTCATATTTCAGCATGCTGTATACGTTCAAACCTAAAATAATAATTAAAGTATATTGATTTGAGGTAAAGAAATTTTAAATTTTATTTTTAAACGATTACCATAAACTGGCATCAGATTCATGTGTTTGATTTGGTTCAATGCTAAACTGATATTCCTTGGCATTGTATCGGTACTAAAAAAAAATGAATTTGTACATAATTCTTTAAATCTCAAATAAAAATTATCAATTATTATAGTTACTCGTCTATAAATAGAACTGAAGGTCCCCATAGTCTTGAATCAACTAAATCATTGATGTATCCAGGATCGTCTGTAGGTAAATCCAAATTTTTTACTACGTGTAAATCGTCCTAAATAAAAATGTCTGGTAATGTCATGTGCAAACTAATTTAACAATATAAAATATATATACTTGAATTAGCTTGACAGATAGTGTTGATGTAAGTCCGTATACTCTTTTGTAGAATGGAAGCATATAAAAATGAGTTGTATGAGAGCGTGGTCCATGTATAACRGATCCACCTCTAAACAGTGGAGAACGTCTAGTACCATGCCGTGCGCGTCCTTGACCCTTTTGTGGCCAAGGTTTTTTACTGCTCATGTTTACCTCGGCTGTAACTTTGGTATTGGCGTAACTCTGTAGYGATAAAAAATGGTTATTAGACTTGTATAGTGAAAAATAAYTGAGGAATAAAAGAAAATAACTTACAACATATTTATATTTTTTTTGCCACACRACATTTTCATGTATTATATCAATTCTGGGTCTCGATCCAAACACTTGGGGATGCAAATCTATGATTGTAGAWGGATTTTCCTTTATAGTATCCAAATTAGACACCCATGCCTGGCGTAGTTGTGTGTATCCGCCGTATACCAATGGCGGCTCTTCAACTTCATCTAAGAATTTTTAATTATTGTTTAAATTTTGTTACATTTCAAAAACAAGCAATTTAAACTATTGCAGACTTACTGAACTCGGAATTTTCAATTGCCACGGTAGACAACCGACATGCCGCTGTGAACGTCGACGGGAGAGCGCGAATTTGTTTTGCCAAACAATTTAACAACATTTTAAGATTTTTATTTTATAAACTGTACAAATATAATGTTGACTTAAATAATATTATAATGCAAAATTCATTTAACAAGATTAATTTTAATTTTTAAGCATAATATTGTTGAATACCTTATAGGCTATTGCCTTATGATGTTATCACTGTTATCACTGTTATCACTTGTAAATTTTCCCAAATCTAAATACTGTTATCTATGCTATGACCATGGTAGATCTTATCATTGTCAGTGCGGCAGTTKGTTTTCAAATGGTATGTTCGTTTTCCGAGGGAAAATTTAATTTAAAAACACTCGGTTACAATAATAATATAAAATATTAACAAATCCGTAATAACATCATTTTCACGTCTGATAAACAAAGTTGGAATAAAATTAAACTTATTGTTCGAAAATCATTCCGTTGTGAAGAATCGTAACTATTATACTCGTCGAATCGATATTAAAACATTTCAACATTTAATTTATTTCTAATTGTATGTATTTTTCTTTCAATAAACTTTCGAACAATTTATTGAATAGTTTATGTTTGTGATTTCTGTAGATTGAAAAAAAAAATCTATAGTACCAATTGTTAAAAATAAAATGATTTGTTTAAATGAAATGTCATAATGACGTGTAACAATAAAATTAAGACACACAGCTCACAATCAAGCATATCATTACAGAATGCCGCAAATTTGAAAGAGAAAAACGGGAAGCAAGAGTACCATCCATTCTCGCCGAAGCTCTTCAGCCAGCCAACATTCAAAACACGATATCATTTATAATCAATTCTAATTTAATCAACCTTCTGTAAAATAATTTGTACATTAATATTAAGCAATTACTTCCCAATGTAACCCCATACATTTGTAGTAGCCAATGGCCCTAGATGCCGAGGCTTTTATTAATAACAAAAAATATAAAAAAATAAAATAATATAATATAAGTAATAATATAGTAAATAATGTATTACTTAATAACAATAATTTTGATTACATCACGGTGTTTACAAAGAAATAATACACAAAAAAGCAAATAAGTATTCAAATTTAATGAGTTTTTTTAAATTATACCTACCTATAGCTCAAATTTAGCGAATTTTGAGTTTACAATACAAGTGGGCTCATAAAAATGTCTTTCAAAAATCGATCAATCTGAAAATGATATTTAAAATAGTGATTGCCATTGGAATAAAATGAATTTTTGTTGTGAATGCGCAAAATACATAAGTTAAAAAAAATTTAAACTATAGAAATTTATAATTGATTATAGTCTAGTTTAATGTCCCGCAAATAGAATTGAAAGATATATTAACTGGGTAATGAGTAATGTTGGCCAACGATATTATATTTTTAATAATCGATATCGTATTTATTTTTCCGATATTGTATCGTGATTTAAATTTGTTATATACGCAAAAATCAAGGGATAATATGTTTTTGAATTACAATGAAATGACTAGCATTGTTATTTTCCGTTGAAATATCTAATTCCGTACACATTTGAACTTTAAAATATGTTTATAAACCATGTRATGTCAGCCGACCTCGCGTCCACRCTTTATTATATTTACCTTCATCAATTATTTACATACATTTTAAATTTTGATTATTATAAGTTCAAAGTTCAAATTTTTTTTSTTATTAAAAAAAACCGTTTTACTGCTAAAAAGCTAAATATCAGTAGACCGCAATCCGAAAGTTTGTATAATAAGCACTTACTACAATAAATAAATTTGAAACAGTTTTAATTAATCATACTTCGGGATGCGGAACACTTAGATGTGCCGTTTTCCCGCCGTAGCTTTATCTCTATTAAAAAAGTCTAAAACCCAATATCGGATTAGCTCAATGATCCGTACACGCTAACAATGTCTCCTCTGATTATTTAGAAAATTTGTATACAGAGAAGTAAAATAACTATAAAAATTATCCAGTGAAATTAACACTAATACACAATAAATAATTAATATCATGGACTATCGAAAAAAACATCAACGTCCTCTATTACAATCTCCCTCGCTGAAACAACTACAAATATTCTCCTCTTCACCAAATCGTAATGCCATATTCATTTCGCTGTAACTACATCAGTATATTATAATTATTATTTAAAGAACTTGTACCTACCTTTTAAGACGTTAATATTAAGACTTTAAAGTGATGATTATAATAATTAATTTGCTGCAATAGCGTTTTAAACGGAATAATTCTACAACCACAATGAACCACTATTACACTATTAACTATGAGGAAAGTGTAGATAGATCGCTATATTACTTATACTTGARAGGACGCCACACCCGCATGTGTTGTCTCCGTCTTACAAACGTATAACATAGCAAAATCTGTTGAGCGCGGGACAACTTTTCTCCCTCAATATTTATAATAGAATTTTCAAAATTTCACAACGCATAGTTGTTAAGAACTTTATCTGTGTCATAGCGTCGTTATTTTTTTGATAGCACAAACCAATAATTTTAAGTAATTTAATGAAAAATTAAAAATAAATGTACTTTCTTAAACTTATAACTTTAATTATATTTATGTTATCAAAAAAAATTATGACGCTATGACACTGATGAAGTTCTTACCTATGCGTTGTGGAATTTTGGTAATTCTACTATAAATACAAAGGGAGTAAAGTTGTCCCGCGCTWMACAGATTTTKCTATGTTATACGTTTGTAAGACGGAGACAACACATGCGGGTGTGGCGTCCTCTTAAGTACTTGCTCGATGCGTATCGCGCCATACTCCCGCCACGAACCGAACGACGTTGGTTTGGATGTGATGGTGTATACGGATGAGGAGAGGACGCAAGCGCTGGGGCGACTAGGCGAGTGGGGCCGTATCAATACCGCAACGACCGGAATACAATATTATTTTGTTGTTGTGTCCCCTTAATGAAAACATATTTTATTATAACAAAATGATTATCGCAGGGACGACATATAATAATATCGTACAACATATTATTAATTATAGGTATAATAATATTATTGTGTATCGTTTCGTTTTCAAATTACCTGAAACTTATACAAGTCACCCGTTTATGACACAACTYCTACAACTCAAACTATGTTGGCTGTTCCCCATATTATACAATTTTTTTTTAAGTACTCAATGTGGAAGTACATA